TTGCACCCTTTGCACAGAGCTCTGTGTTGTTTTCCAACACAGAGCTCTGGGCAGTGATTGTACACAGTTGATCAGCAGGTGATAGGCTCTCGCTGTGTACAATCACAGTGCTTGCTGGGCAGGAGCACGTTTGTGCGTGCCCTAAACCCAGAAGTAGGCAATGACATACAGGTATGTCACTTTGCCCACAGTGGCCGCCGTCCACAGTACATTACAAGCAGGAGGAACTGGGTATATCATTCACCTGGTGGGTTCCTACTAAATGTATCTAAAGCCCAAACTTTGTTTTTGTAGAATGGTTAGATCCCCTCAAGTGTTTTTTTTTGTTAGTCCCACTGGGGAGATTCACTCTCTCTATTTGTCCTGGTGACCACTATTGTCAGGAAAAGTCTGCCCATAGTACAGGTGAAGATTTCTGGCGCACAAATATGCACATGCACTAAACAATGACGAGCCGGGCAGATGTGAAGGTACTTCGGCATAGGCGTGCGCACTTCCACATCCAGGCGTGCGTCTGTCACTAATGCTGGCGCCAAAAGGACTATTTAAACTGGCTCCAGTAATGTCTCATTGCCGTTTGGTCTTAATCCCTGCTTGTGTTTCCTGATTCTTGTGCTTGACTCCTGATACTGAACCAGCTTGTTCCTGACCTTTGCTTGTCTGCTACCTGCCCTGACCCACGGCTTTTCTTGGCTTACCCTTCTGTCTCCTATTGCTGTCTGATTGATCCTGCGCTGCTGATTTGGCCCATGACCCGACTACGTTTCCTCCTGCCGTCTATGCCCGATCTGCCCGACTGCTACCAACCCGACCCTGCATCCTCCACCATGCTCCCCAGTGATCCATCCAGGGGCGGACTGACCATTTGGAAACTCGGGCACTGCCCGAGGGCCCAGGGTCAGTAGGGGGCCCCATGAGATGCCCCTGGTACCTTTTTTCATAGACTTTTTTGAGTTTGGGCAAGGACACAGGGGCCCCATGATCCCCTATTGCCCGGGGGCCCTATGAGTTGTCAGTCCGCCCCTGGATCCATCCATCCAGAATACTGCTGTCTGCCTTCTGCCTGCCCTGCGGCTTCATCTGCCTACCATCTACTTCTGGAACATCACCTACTAGACTGATCACAGGCACTCATACCCCGCCGTGCTCCTGTGGCCGCTGTCCCACTATCAGTAGCCCTTGAGCCGGAGTTGTGCGGGAGGCCTGCCTCTTCACGTCAGGCTCACAATCCAGGTACGTGACAGCTATCACCAGGACAGAGAGCAAGGCTCTGTGCACACTTATGCAGTTTGCTTTTCGCAGTTTGTTTTGCGTTTTTCTACGTGCATTTTTCTATGCGCGTTTTTGATGCATTTTTACCATGTTTTGAGTTTTTTGTTTAGCTCTTCTTCTTTTTTTGGATTTTTTTTTTGTTGCTGGGCATAATAAAAATGCAAAACGAGGCAAAGACGCACTACCATGCATTTCAGCAGCTTCTCCATTGAACTCCATTGAATGTGTGCCCTAGGAAACCATGTTAAATGGACTGTAGTGCATTTTTGCAAAAAGCACTAAAAAACGCATTGGTGTGAACGGAGCCTATGGGAAATCTAAAATTCTGAGTTGTCATCTGAAGAAAAACAGAGGGTAGGTGTTCCATAGGAGACAACTGTTTGGGTTTTTCCCAGTTTGGAGATAAATCCTTTCACTTGTTGTTGTTTCTATGGTACAGGAATTAACAAGAATTCTCCCCAATGGAACACAGGTGACAGAAAAGCTGTGAAGGTCTTTAACTCCTTTTTTTGCCAAAAAAGGCATTGGCATTAGGAGGGGCAGAGACGTGACTACAGTACTGGGGCCTTCCGCAATCTGCCGGCAGCACAGCAGAGGTTGTACTTTTTGGACATCTAAATTATCTTGTTTTTTACCACACTGAAGAGATCCTGCATGAATGGAGGTCTGCACCCCAGGCTAGGGCATGTTTACTGATATAAGCCTGGCAAGGGTCTCATGTCTGGATTTGGGCTTTAAAACCCAACTCTGAGAAGTGTAAAATCCTCCCATACTCTGGAGATGTGCCTGCACTGCAAGTGTTCATTGCTTGTCTAGTTTTAGGGGGCATTGAAAAGAAGATTTACTTACCCAATCCTCCACTCCTCTATGCTGCTAGACTGATTCCTGCAGCATCTTCTCCCCCATGCTGCAGAAGTTTAAGGTCCTGACGTCATCAAGGTCTATTGCCTTGCAATGGACGTGATGATGCCAAGGGATGGTCCCCTGCCGAAGCATGGTGGAGTACCATCTACCAGGGGAGTGGAAGATCAGGAGACTTGCTTTTACTCTCCCCTAGACTAAAGGGAGAGTCCACACTGTGTGCGTTGGCTGCGGGTGCGGGAATTTCTACTGTTCCCACACCCGCGACCACCCGCAGCTCTTACAAGATGTGCAGGGCTGTCTTCATTCTAAATGGAGCCTTCACGCATCTCAGCCCACAGCGCATTTGCTGGTGTGGGAACCGTGGGAAAATCTCATGGTCAAAAAGAGTATTATTATTATACAGGATTTATATAGCGCCAACAGTTTGCTCAGCGCTTTACATTATAGTGGGAGACAATACAGCAACAATACAATTCAATACAAGAGGGATTTGAGGGCCCTGCTCCTTGAAGCTTACAATCTAGGAGGGAGGGGTGAGTGGTACAGTAGGTAGTCACTGTGGGGGATGGAGTGGTTGGAAGAGTAGAGGATACCAGAATTAGCAGATAGGCTTCCCTGAAGAGATAGGTTTTCAGTGATCGCTTAAAGGCAAGTAGAGTAGGTGATAGTCTGATAGATTGGGGTAGGGAGTTCCAGAGGATGGGTGACACCCTGGAGAAGTCTTGGAGATGAGCATGGGAGGAGGAGATAAGGGAGCTAGAGAGTAAGAGGTCTTGCGAGGAGTGGAGAGTATGGTTTGGGTGATATACGTATAGAGATAAGATCGGTTATGTAAATTGGGGCAGTGTTGTGGATGGCTTTATATGTCATTGTCAGAGTTTTGAATTTTATACGTTGGGCAACTGGGAGCCAGTGGAGGGATTGGCAGAGAGGGGTAACGGATACAGAACAGTTAGTGAGCTGGATAAGTCTGGCAGCAGCGTTCATGATAGACTGGAGGGGGGATAGCCTGCGATGAGGTCGGCCAATGAGGAGGGAGTTACAGTAGTCAAGGCGTGATATTACAAGGGAGTGAATAAGTTGCTTAGTGGTTTCTGGGGTTAGGAACGGTCGTATCTTGGAGATGTTGCGGAAGTGAAGTCTACATGATTTTGTCAGCAATTGGATCTGGGGCTGGAAGGACAGATGGGAGTCTAGGATTACACCTAGTACCCTGGTGTGAGGGGATGGACTGAGGATGGTGTTAGCGTTATTTATGGTGAAGTCAGGGGAGGGGGCACGGGCTGGGGGGAATACTAAGAGCTCCGTTTTGGAAAGGTTGAGTTTGAGGAAGTGGAGTGACATCCAAGCCGATATGTCGCTTAGTAAGCTAGCGATGCGGGTGGACACTGAAGGGGTGAGGTGAGGAGTAGAAAGATAGATTTGCGTGTCATCAGCATAGAGATGGTAATTGAAGCCATGGGAGTTTATCAAGTGACCAAGGGAGGAGGTGTAGATGGAGAAGAGAAGGGGTCCAAGGACAGAACCTTGGGGGATCCCTACAGAGAGAGGGAATGAGGGGGAGGTGGCAGCGTTATAGGTAACACTGAAGAAGCACTGCGATAGATAGGAGGAGAACCAGGAGAGAGCAGAGTCGTTGAGGCCAAAAAGATCATACAATTTCCCCACGGCTGCATTTTTAAAAAGGTGCATGCACTTTTTTCTGTGCAGAAAATGCAGGCATGGCAACCTATTCTCTGGTGAAGAAGGGACCCCCCCTTCGAAATGTGTCATTCTGAGAATTTCCCCCTCAGATGGGATCCGCATGTGTCTCCTTATCGTAGGATGCACTTTTGGATTTTATATGCCTGTTTTATTACTACATTTGTGAGTATATCTCCAAACTGAATACATTTACTAACTGTAATGCGCAAGGTTGGTGCGCTCTGTTTTTGTTCTTCAGTAGTTTGTATCAAGCTTCCCCAGCTTTGTGTTGGAGCTGCACAGCCTTTGATCGGTTTTTGGGACGAACTTCCATACATCTTTATAATTTTTATACTATGATCTATCGGCCCTCCACTGGTCTGGGTCTCTGAGCGCAGGAGGTGTTGTATTTGTGTTTACCATTCAAATGTGAGCCAGGGCTAAAGGAGTAGTGAAAGCACACCCCCATTACAAGGGAGGATTTTCAGATTTTCCAAGAGTTGCGCTTCAAAGTAAAAAAAAATATTAATTTTGAAGCAAACGCTTTTGCTGAAACCAGTTGGTATATTGCTTCACTGATATTTGGTATCTTGTTCCAATTTTCCACAGCTGATGGGAATGATGATATCCTGCTCAGTTAAGGACGATGACATTCTTAGGACGATCAAACGTTGCTGGAAGGAGAACCATTACCAGCTCTGCCCCCACTCTGCGGTTGGGGTGTCTTACCATTACCAACAAACCGACAGCAACCAGAACAAGTATTTCACCTTTTTATAGCATTAATAATGGTTATTATATTAATAACACAATGTTCCAGCGCTTCGTTTAGATTTTCACTCACATAATCCGATATTTCAGACAACCAATCCGATATTTCAGACAATAAGGAGATCTTGCAGTAACTCTAACACTGGCCCACCTCTCCATGTGCAAGTGCCACATTACAGCTGTAGCAGAAAAAAAAATAAAACACCTGTAGAGAAAAAAAAAACATATATTTTACATCCAGCATAACACATGGTCCTGCCAGCAAAATCATGAGAATGCTGAGTATCCCGCCCAATCTCACGAGAAGCTTCTTTTTTTTTAAATAATAAAATAATTTAAAGTTTATTAATCTTAAAGTTGAAATGTTTATATTTTGTCTTCCCTGCCCTCCCCCCCATTCAAAGCGCTAATTAAAAAAAAAACTTAAATTTTTATTACTTAACTTGTTTTGGACATGCTGATATTATTACTAGGTCTCTATGCAGAGCATGGCTGGTGGGAGAGGCCAGCAAGGTGCTGCATGTAGCTACCTGAAACAAATTGCAGTACCCTGCCTCAGTACCCCTCTCAAGTGCTGTCAGCCCTGATTCTGCAAGCAGTAGGATGGAGTTATGGAAATATCAAAGTGCTTTGATGGGTGGATGTCAGTCTGGAGTATGTAAATACAGTCAGGGGCAAACTGACCATATGGAAACTTGGGCACTGCCCGAGGGCCCGGGGTCAGTAGGGGGCCCCATGAGATGCCCCTGGTACCTTTTTCATAGACTTTTTTGAGTTTGGGCAAGGACACAGGGGCCCCACGATCTCCTATTGCCCGGGGGCCCCATGAATTGTCATTCCGCCCCTGAATACAGTATATACGCTATATTGCCAAAAGTATTGGGCCAGCCCTCCAAATCATTGGATTCAGGTGTTCCAATCACCTCCATGACCACAGGTGTATAAAATCAAGCATAAAAAATTGCAGCGCTAATTGGACATATATTTTAAAATCCAAAAAATGGACAGGAATTATACATAAGTCCATGTGGGATTCCCATATATAAAAACAGAAACCGGTGCATAGGAAAGAGAGTTCCAATCGAAAGAGCAAACCGTCACCTTCCACCCAATGAATTGGCCTCTTATCCGAAGGTCTGATGGCCCAAAGGGTCGGCCAGCATAAGCGGTTTAATACATCCAGCTTATACTGCAACCGGTCTTCAGTAAAAATCACTCACAGAGCAATCCAGGATACTTCTCCGAATCACATTTCAAATAGCAAACTTCCCATCTAGCAAACACACCACATGAAAAGAAGAATTGCCAGCTCACAGTGTAGTAGATTAATTAATTCAAACAATTTTATTCAAATTGCACTTACATAGCAGGCATTACCCACTTCCAGTCCGGATACTTTCACCCCCTTCCTGCCCAGGCCAATTTTCAGCTTTCAGTGCTATCACACTTTGAATGACAATTGCGCGGTCATGCAACACTGTACCCATATGAATTTTTTTAGCATTTTTTTGAGACAGATAAAGCTTTATTTTGGTGGTATTTATTCACCACTGGGATTTTTATTTTTTTTGCTATGTAAATTAAAATGTCCAAAAATTTTGAAAAAAAGTTTTTCTTATAACATTTTGCAAATAAATAATATTTCATCATAAATCTTGGCCAAAATTTATTCCGTTATATTTTTAGTAAAAAAAAAAATAACCCAAATTAGTTTATAACCAAAAATTATAATTTTTAAACATTTTATTTTTTTTTTACTTTTTTTTATATTTTTTTTTTTTTACATACTGTCACCCTAGCAGTACAGTGTCACAATGGTGACACTGTACTACTTGTGGGGGTTGATGAAGATTTTTTCTTTTTTTTTTTTTTACACTGATTGCTTTTATACCCATAAAGGATGTAAAAGCAATCATTTCTCCTTCGCTCTGGCTGCATTCTTGCAGCCATTGAAAACTACTGTGTGAGCTGTGATTGGTCTAGCTTGTCACATGGTACAAGGCTGTTGTGAATAGCCTTGTACCATGTGATCTCTGTGATCATTCACAGATTTCACACGTAGTAAGCAATGATGTCAAAAGTGACATCTTGCTTACTACTCTGCATGTATCACTGATTGGCCAATCAGTGATCACATGATCGGGACCTTGTACAGAGGTCCCGTCCGACAATCGGTGTTCCACTGTGTCCAGAGGACACATCGGGCATCGGATCGCGGTGCTGTGCGCTCTCAGGGAGCGTGCACAAGCAGGGTGCGGGGAGGCTGTTTATAAACGGCCACCTGACCCTGCACTGCCACCGTCCGGCCATTTATATACAACGGCCGGATGGGAGGTGGTTAAAAACAGCATGACAAAGTGACAATGTGGTATGTTTCAAGCCAACAAGATGGCCGCTGTCCCTCCAAAGTGCGATGACGCCACACGGCGTAAGCCCTGATGATGCCTTTTGATAAAGAAATGTGTAGGACGGAGTTACACCGTGTGATGTCATCTCGCTCTGGAGGGACAGCGGCCATCTTGTTGGTTTGAAACATACCACATTGTCACTTCTGTCATGCTGTTTTTAATGCCTGCTATGTAAGTGCAATTTGAATAAAATTGTTTGGATGAATTAATCTACTACACCAGTGATGGCGAACCTATGGCACGCGTGCCAGAGCTGGCACGCAGAGCCATCTCAGTGGGCACGCCAGGAAGAACGCGCTCTCCTGCACACCCCTGGGGGCGCGCACCGGGCGATCTCCGTGATCGCTGTGTCCTACAGACACAGCTGATCACGTGACGTGGTAAAAGGCCAATCACAGCGGCCTTTTACCACGTGATCAGCGGTGTCCAATGACACACTGATCACCGGGAAATGCAAATGCCGGTTCTCGGCTGCACTTTCCTCACGCTGTCAGATTGTGAGGAAAGTACTGCCGAAAACCGGCAGTTGTCAGAGCAGGGAACGGCACCGATCATCAGGGTCACTGATCATCAGTGCCCTGATGATCGGTGCCCAGCAGTGCCACACACAAGTTCCGCCCACCTGTGCCCAGCAATGCGCCCACCTGTGCCCAGCAGTGCGCCCACCTGTGCCCAGCAATGCACCCACCTGTGCCCAGCAATGCACCCACCTGTGCCCAGCAGTGCGCCCACCTGTGCCCAGCAATGCACCCACCTGTGCCCAGCAATGCACCCACCTGTGCCCAGCAGTGCGCCCACCTGTGCCCAGCAATGCACCCACCTGTGCCCACCTGTGCCGCCCACCTGTGCCCAGAAGTGCCACCTACCTGTGCCCAGTAGTGCCACCCACCTGTGCCAACCCACCTGTGCCCACCAGTGCCACCCACCTGTACCCACAAGTGCCACCCACCAGTGCCCATCAGTGCAGCCCAGCAGTGCTGCTAGTCAGTGCCACCAGTCAGTGCCCAGCGGTTGTGCCGGTCAGTGCCCAGCAGTGCCATCAGTCAGTGCCCAGCAGTGATGTCAGTCAGTGCCACCTATCAGTGCTGTCTATCAGTACCCATTATCAGTGTCGCCTATCAGTGCCACCAATCAGTGCCGCATATCAGTGCCACCTATCTGTGACACCTCATTAGTGCTGCCCATCAGTGCCACCCATCAATGATGCCCAGCAGTGCCACCAGTCAGTGCCGTCTGTCAGTGCCTCCAGTTGGTGCTATCAGTCAGTGCCGCTTATCAGTGCCCATCATTTCCTGCATATCAGTGCATCATCAGTGCCTCCTCATCAATGCTCACCAGTGCCGCCTCATCAGTGCTACCTATCTGTGCCGCCTCATCAATGCCCATCAGTGCTGCCTATCAGTGCAGCCTCACCAACGCACATCAAAGAAAAAATATTACCTGTTTGCAAAATTTTAGAATAGAAGCAAAGGAAACCTTTTATGTTTTTAATTTTTTGCTCTTTTTTCATTTATAGTGCAAAAAATAAAACACCCAGTGGTGATTAAATACCACCAAAAAAAAGCTCTATTTGTGTGAAAAAATTATAAAAATTGTATATGGTTACAGTGTTGCATGACCGCACAATTGTCATTGTTAAGTGCAACAGCACTGAAAGCTGAAAATTGTCCTGGGCAGGAAGGGGGTAGAAGTGCCCGGTAGGCAAGTGATTAATTCCAGTGTTGGCACTTTGAAATAAAAAAGTTGGTTTTGTGTTGCAGTTTGGGCACTCGGGCTCAAAAAGGTTCGCCATCACTGTACTACACTGTGAGCTGGCAATTCTTTTATATGGTGTTGTGGTTGACTTATAGGAAGTTTGCTATTTGAAATGAGATTCTAATCTTTACTTTAACGAATCGATACGAAACACGTTTTTTTTTTGTTTTGCACATGTCTAGAAACCATTGTGCTACTTCTGTGTGACATAAAAAAAAAATGGAACTACCACCATTTTATTCTGTAGGGTCCCAGCTTTCAGAAAAGAGATCATGTTTATGTGGTTTTAAGTAATCTTCAGGTCTGTGTGCAAAAACAAAAATGCAAAAACAACCTTGGCTGTGAAAGGGTTAAAGGCCTTTTATTTTTCTTTTCCATCAACAGGCCCCGATGTTGCCTGGCTCCGGCTTCAGCTGCTAAATTTCCAGAAGTCATTCTAAAAGCCGATCTTACCCCTGACCCCCCGGCTGACATCCAGCAATTGTGGAATAAAAATTGCAGCTATTTGCATGTGACGAGAGAAGATGATTGGGAAGAAGTACTTAGAGAAAAAATTGAAATCATTGACAGCGAAGACTGAAAGAACTGAACGTGAACATCCATCCACAACAATGGAAGGGAAATAGAACGATCTACTGTTCTGTCATTTGTAACTGCCTATTGACCAACATCATTTCCTAGAATTACGGGGGAAAAAATGAGGGATAAATACAATGGATAATAGTTTATTTTGTGTTTGAGTTTTGTCAATTAACTTACTGTATACTTCCTACCAGGGGCAGACTGACCATTTGGAAACTTGGGCACTGCCCGAGGGCCCGGGGTCAGTAGGGGGCCCCATGAGATGCCCCTGGTACCTTTTTTATAGGCTTTTTTAGTTTCGGCACGGACACACTGGCCCCATGATCCCCTATTGCCCGGGGGCCTAATGAGTTGTCAGTCCGCCCCTGCTTCCTACATAAACAAACACATAAATAAATGTGTAGACTAGGCTCCATGCACACTAGCGTTTTTTTTATTAAGCTCTTTGAAGCTGTTATCAGCATTTTTTTCTGCTCATAGAAGCTAATAGTGTTCTCCAATGTGTTCATTCACACTACTTTAGGCTATTAGCATTTTTTGAGCTTCAGAGTCTAGGAGTTTTTTGGAACTTTTTTTAGAAACATAGGAAAGTGACAGCAGAAAAAGACCGAGTGGTCTATCGAGTCTACCCATTTTTTCGTTTTGTTTGTTTATTTTTTTTGGGGGGGATGTTTTTTTTTTTTTTTTTTTTTTTTTTCTTTTAAGTGTTTTTTTTTGTTTGTTTTTTTTTTTTTGTTAACTTTTTTTTTATAGGTCTATGCTTGTCGCAAGCATGTTTGAAGCCACTTACTGTTGACTGGCTCACTACTTCTGCTGGATGTTTATTCCAAGCATCAACCACTCTTTCAGTAAAATAGTACTTTCTGAGATTAGTTTTGAACTTTTCGCCAGTTAGTTTAACCACTTCAGTACCGGGCACTTTTACCCCCTTCCTGCCCAGGCCAATTTATTAAGTTTCAGCGCTCTCACACTTCGAATGACAATTGCGCGGTCATGCAACACTGTACCCAAAATAAAATTTTATCATTTTGTTCACACAACTAGAGTTTTCTTTTGGTGGTATTTAATCACCACTGGGGTTTTATCTTTTGCTAAATTAACATTAATTTCTGTTATAAAAGTTTGCAAATAAATAATTGTTCTTCATAAATTTAGGCCGAGATGTATTCTGCTACATGTCTTTGGTGAAAATAACCCAAATTAGTATTTATTATTTAGTCTGTAGAAAAGTTATAGAGTTCACAAACTATGGGATATATTTGAAAATTGATCAATCCTGAAGTACTGACAGCCAATCTAATTTCTTGAGGCCCAAAAATATCAGAACAGTACAGATATCCCCCAAATGACCCCTGTTTGCAGAGTAGTCAGTCCGACATATTTCATAACAGGCATGGCGAGTTTTTTGAAGTTGTAAATTTTTTGTCATAATTTTTCGGAAAATGAAGAAATTAAAAAAAAAATTTTCACCATTTTTTTTTTTTACACACTGTCACCAGTGCAGTACAGCGTTGGCATATAACTGGTGTGGCGGTGATTAGGGACACTGACTGGTGACAGTACGAAAAAAAAAATTGATACATTTTTTTTTATTAAATTGTTTCTCTTTTTTTTAAGATTTTTTTTATTTCACTATTTCATTTCAGGTACTTATATAGCGCCATCAATTTACACTGCACTTTACATATATATTGTACATTCACATCAGTCCCTAACCCCCAAGGGGCGTACATTCTAAGGTCCTAACTTACATTCATACATACACATACTAGGACCAGTTTAGACAGGAGCCAATTCACCTACCAGCATGTCTTTGGAGTCACTATGACCAAGGTAGTATAATGCTACCATAGTAACATTGTACTACTTTGGGGAAGTGATCAGTTTTTTTTGTTTTTTTTTTACACAATTTGATAGCTTATAGCAAATAATTTCTTTGCTATAAGCGAGCATTTAACTGAATGAAATGGATTTCATTCAGTTTTTTTTTGTTGTGATTAGCTGTGAGTGGCCTTAGCTAATCACATGACACAGATGGGCTGTGACTGGCCCAGCCTGTGCATGTGATCGCTGTGACCATTCACAGCTAGACACACTTGTACACAATGGATGGCATGAAAGGAAGCCGTCCATTGTTTACAACTGTCATGTGACCTGCTGTGATTGGTCACAGCAGGCCACATGGTACTGGCAATGGGGCCAGTACACAGATCTGTCATCGGCCGTGTCCGAGGTACACGGCCGGTGACAGATCTCACTGCGGGCACACGCAAAGCGTGATCTGGGAAAGATGTCATATGACGCCCTCCTGGAGGGACGAAGTGTTCGCCCGGCCACCATTTGACTATAGGCCGGGCGGCAAATGGTTAAGGTCAAGTCCCCATGTTCTTGATTTTGGTTCCACGTTGAAAATACATTTTGGTTTCATGTTGAAAATACAACATTTTCCAGCAGAAAAAAAATGCTGAATGCTACTAAAATGCTCCTAACAACAGCTTTTTTCTAGCTTTTTTTAATTTTTTCTCTCTTTACATTTACTGTAAAAATGCTAATAAAACATTAACGCTCCTAAATGCTTCTACACACTGCCAAAATGCTACTAAAAAACTTTATTACCAGCGTTTTTTTCCCGCATTTCTGGAGCTTATCAAAAATGCTAGTGTGCATGGAGCCTTAGGGAGCATTTTTCTGGTAGAAAAAAAATACCGAATGCTTGTAAATGCTACTAAACCACTCCTAACAGCTATTTTCAAGCTTTTTTTTTCTAGCTTTTTTCCCCGTATGTGTACTATACAAAAATGCTAAAAAAATGCTAATGCTTCTAAAATGCTACTAAAAGCTATTATCAGCAGTTTTTATCAGGCATTTTTTCCACACTAGTGTGTATGGAGCCTTCCCATTGCGAAGTAAACATCTGCCAGCTTCTAGTATCTATTGGGAACTTTAGCACTGAGGTACAGTATGTGTGCCAAAAAGAAGTATCACCCAAAAAAGGGGTCCAGGACCTCATTCAAATGAATAACTGCTGTATCTGCCACGTGCGCATGCATGGAGGAAAAGAGATTTAATCTCCAAACACGGAAAGGTTTCTTCACAGTAAGAGCTGTGAAAATGTAGAATAGACTCTCTCAAGAGTTGGTTCTGGCCAGCTCAGTGGATTGCTTTAAAAAAGTCCTGGGTTCTTTCTTGGATACACAGAATATAACTGGATACTAACATTTATAGGTAAAGTTGATCCAGGGAATATCCTATTGCCTCTCGGGGGATCAGGATGGAATTTTTTCCCCTGCAGGAGAAAATTGGATCATGCTTTGCTTTGTTTTTGCCTTCCTCTGGATCAACTGTGGGTGTAGGATAACTAACTTTTTTTTTTTTAATGGTTGAACTGGATGGACTTCTGTCTTTTTTCAGCCAGACTATGTAACATATGGGAGCCCAGTGTTAAACACCGCTAGGGACTTATGCATGCCATAGACACTTCATTTATCGGCCGATTTTTCGTCCGAAAGAATAATCGACCGATTTTGGCACTGTTAGTGGGGCAATGGCATTGGCCGATTTTCGTGGTTCCTCCTCATTTCTTTTATCGGTCATGCTGGAAAATTTGTGAAAAACGGCCGATTTTTGCAATCATTGGTGGCAACAGAACGAATGATGTTTTGTTTTTCGGACGAAAAATCGGCTGATAAACGAACCGTCTATGGCCTGCATAAGAGACCTATTTAGAATGCAGTTAATGTAACTTTCCCCAAACATTCCCTGGTGATGAATCAATCACTGTCATTTAAAGTGGTAGTAAAGTCATTTTAAAATCAAAAATAGTAAAATCAGAAAGTTCCAATGTAAACAATATATAAAGTGACTCTCGTTAATGACTCTGGATCCAGTATCAGTGCAGTAGTGGTAAAGGAAATGCACACTCACCAGACGCGCATATTTATTGCGCCTTATGTTAAACCCAGATGTCATCAGACAGGTATTAAGTAGATGGACTTGCCTCTTAGAGATGGTGCGTCATCAGATTAGATGTTATGGGGTTGGTAAAGATGGTCCAATCGATTGGCGAACCCCCTCTGAGGACGTGTTTGTACATGATACGCGTCAGGAGGAGCCACATCACGCCGTGACGTCACACCGCCGGAGCAACCTGGAGCTCCGGCAGCCATCTTTAATACCAGATGGTTAGTCCTGTCTGTTTTATCTTTTTCTGATGCATCACAATAAAGTTGTTTATAACTACTACACTATGGGAGTTTCCTTGTCCTTACCCCCTGGGGGAGCTCTTTAGACCAGCAGACCCACTACTCTAGGACGGATTGCCATACCCTGTGGGTTGATCTGCATATCCAGAGAGTTACT